GACTTTCAAACACTTTCACTGGGTAAAGCATATAAAAAAAAAAGGAAAAAAAAAACAGCCAAACAACCCTCCATGACCCTTCATAGGCATAAGGGTCATCACTTTCGCTTTCGACTGACGATTTACTGCGCGGGTGGAGTAGGCGGTAGGGTTACTCTGGCGGCAGGGTTGCTGCACTCTAATGAAGCCATCGCCGGGCAAAGCCCAAAGCAACCCTCAGCGCAGCGGTGCTTCGTTTTGGCCAGTGTCAACAACGTCGCGCGATATCATTGCAATTCGTGCGACACGTGACCGCAAGAAATCCGGCTGAGTGTTGGATATTGTTCGATGACGGAGGGGGGGGGGGGGCATTTCGTGTGAAGAGGGTGTGCTGTGGGGTCTTAATAGATTTTTGATTTGTTTTGTGCTCGTCGAAATCCAATTGTGCGCGCGGCGCGTGCGACGCTGATTCGAATAATGATTTGCCAAATACCGCAAATTTATGCGACTTCCTTGTCTATCTATCTATATACACGGGATCAATACGTTAACGGTACACGCTATCGATATCGTGTTAAAGCAGCCGAATAATTCAATAAGGGAATCACGCAAGCCGACAAAAACAAACAGACCAAAGACAGCAGGGGCTGCACTTACAGAAAAAACCCACTTCGAAGTCTGGAATATCAGCTAACTTGGAATGTTCTTCAATTAAGTATGAACAAGTCTTAAATTAAAAATTGTTCGCTTGAAATAAGAACAAATAACTTGCAATAAGTGTAAAATACTTAATTATACAATATTTACATTTTAAATATTCTTAAATTAAGTACGATTTAGCGTTAAATTCTAAATAGTTAGTTTAAAATAAGAAAAGGAAGTGCTTGCAATAAGTACAAAGTACTTAATTCAAGAATTCTTAAAGTTGTTTGCTTGAAAATTTTACAAATTTTAAATATTAAACAAATTTAAAAGCAATTTTTATAATATTTTCACTTAAAATATACTTAAATTAAGTACGAATTAAGTTCTGAATTGTTCGCTTAAAATCCAAAAGATTGCTTACAATAAAAATAACGTACTTAACTACAGAAATCATTTCACTATATTTTCACTTTGAGTATTCTTAAATTAAGTAAGAAATTAGCGCTAAATTCCAAATTGTGTGCTTAAAATAAGAAAAAGAATTACTTAATTCAAGAGTTATCAACGTTTTGGCTTAACAATTTCTAGTTCATTTGGAACTTAAATATTCTATTATTTGAAAATTGATTCCTCAAATTGAGAGAAAAATCTTAAACTAAGCCAAAAATATTTAAAATAAGCTTTCACATATTTAAGACAAGCGCAAAGCGTGCTTGATATTTGAGTCTAGTTTGTAGGAAATTCGGCATAAAAAGAAATCTTCTTCAAATAAAAACTCCGTGCTTAGCTTAAGCTGTTTCCCACTTCGACTTAGACAACAATTGTATTTGTTTAGAGCAGCTCTTTTCTCTCAGTGCACTGAGACAGAGCCGAGTCTTAGGCACTTTTCTAGCCGCTGGCTAAGATTAAAAGCGGCTGAAACTTTGCTACGCTGTCTGCTCCTCTTCGTATTGTTGTTGTTGTTGTTGTATTCGGTTGCTTTTTTACAAATTGTTTCAATTAAAAAGTTTACTGCCTCCGCTTTGCAGCTGAATGTAATTTTTCTTTTGGCCATGGCTTGGCTGCGTGTAAGCGGCTTTGGGCAACGCTTTGGCATACGATTGACACGTGCCCGACGCCAAAAAAAATTGGGCGCTAATTGCGGCTATAATAAGTACACTGGACAGCAGGGTCTAGCTTTTGGTCTAAGTCCGTGTCCAGGCAAAACTTGTTACATTCGCTTTGGCCTTGGTATTGGTTTTTGCTTGCGGCCTTCGCGGCGTATTTATAAGTTAAATACAAGTAAAAGTTTGCTCGAGATAGAGGGACCGACTGGCAGATACCCTGTAGCTAGCTGCACCTTTTACTTTTACATACGTTGGCTAATGAACTCTTTCGTAAATGCGGAGCTTGGTTTACGATTCAAATGATACATTTTTGGGCAAGCAAGAGTTGGGAGTGCCCGACTAGGGAATACCCTGAACCCTCTTCTATGCGATAGCTATAAAATGAAAGATACTTGACATATATATATATATATACTATACTAGAAGCTACATGTAAAGTTTGGTGACTTTAGTGATTAAATCCCAAGAGATTCGATAAAAAACAGGATTTCGATATCTATTTTTATCGATTGCTTGCAAACGGGGCAAGTTATCGATTATCGGATACAAATTCGTACTGCGCGGGCACTAGGAGAACCTAAGTTCAAAATTTCAAGTCTCTAGCTCTTATAGATTCTGAGATTCTTGCGTTCATATAGACAGACAGACGGACTTGGCTAGATCGATTTGGCTATTGATGCTGCTCAAGAATATATATACTTTATGGGATCGGAGATGCTTCCCTCTGCCTGTTACATATATTTACACAACTACTATATACCCTTTTTACCCATTTTTAATGGAGGGGTAAGTTAGGCAGGCATCCACAGACAGTTATAGTCTTTACAGCTCTTATTGTCTATAAGATAGTCTCATTCAGACAAACAGACATTTCTATATTGATTAAGATTTTGATAAAGATCAAGAATTTATATAATAAAGGAGTCGCAGACGCTTCTTTCCTGCTAAAATGTACATATGCTTTTTTGAACATTTTCAATAATTACAGGGTATAATAAACACAATTGCATAATACACAGCACACAGCACATTATCAGGCGGCTAATTGAGAATTGAAATTGTTTGGGCAAATTAATTAAATATTGTTGGTAAAAAAAAAACTAGAGAGCGCACAAAAAGTTGCAGCCTTATCGCCACATCGTTCAAATATTTTGTGGCGCTAATTAATTTAATTGATTTAAGCATTTGTGTGCGTGTGTGTGTGTGTGTGTGTGTGGTCTACTATATCAGCTGTGAACTGCATTATCTGTTTGTTTGCTCAAATGAAATTGACTTGTAATTAAAAAGTTTTGCAAATTGATTGAAAATTTCCTCCCCCCTCCCCCCTTTAACAGTGTGTGTCCATTTGGCTGCAATGAAAACACAAACAAAAATTAAACAAAAAAAAATACAAATAAAATAAAATAGCCGGAACTGCGCGGGCTAATTACAAGCATTTAATGAAACTGCATTTTTTTTCGGGCTTAGTTAGCACGAGTTTTGCTTTGCACTTGAGGGAATTTTTCTCTTAGGCAAGGCTTATGCTGCGGCTGTATAAGAGTTGCTGCTGCTGTTACTGCTGTTGCTGCTCTTGTACTCTTATACGCCGCTAACTGACCTAGGTCATGGCATAGTTGCTTAGTTAACATTTTACAGCGCTGCCTAATTGAGGCGGTCAGTTTTTGGACTAACTGTTAATAAGTACAGTTAGCCGAAGGTGCAGAGAACTTATAATTTATGCCCGAACTAAAGCGTTTAATTAATCTAAAGGCTAGCAGCTAAGAAGGAGAATACATGTTTTAGTATATTCCCTGAGAAACTTGGTTTTTTCCAAAGAGATCAAAAATAAATCTTAATAAAAGAAAAAAATGAATTAAGTGAAATTTTTTATATATTAAAAATATTTTTTGATGCATTTAAAATTCCCAAAAATAGTGTTCACATTCGTAGCTACTAACCTTTAGATTAATTAAACGCTTTTGTTCAGGTATAATTTATGAATTCTCTATTTTAATTATTTTATGAGCTATTAGGTCCTAGACAGAACTGTTAATAAAGTTAACAGTGTGGACCATGGTTAACATGGTTAAGTTCTACTACAGATATCTTTTTCTCCACCAAAAAAGCACTTGAAAACATGTTAGTTGTTAGGGAAATAAAACCAACAACAACAAGCGCATAAACATATCAACAAATCAAACGGCAACAACAACAACAGTTGCAGCAAAAACCAACATCAAAACAACAACAACAACAAGAGGGGAATGTAAGAGTACAAGCACTCAGAGCGTGCTCCAAAGTTCGGCTGCAATTTTGTGCACCAATAATTTTGCAAGCAACATCAACCGCAATCCTCAGAGCAGCAGCAGCAGAAGAAGCAAAGAGAAAGTTTGTCGTCGCTCTCTTGCGTTCGTTAGCTCGTTGCTCGTTGCTGCTGCTGCGAGCCGAAGGCGTCGCTGCTTCGTGTCTTCGTATTTGCTCGTGCTGGGTGCACACGATTGGCGAGCTGGCTGGCGACATCGCGCCGTCAGTTCAATCCTGCGACTCGAGTGCGAAGCACGCGTATATTGTGTGTGTGTCCGATTTACATATGTGCGTGCGTCGTTGTTGTTAAGCGCAAGTGTTGCCAAATGCGCACAGAAGCTGAACAGTGTTGCGAGCTGAAGTCTAATGGCCTGCTGGGCGAACACGGTGCGTGTTAATGGCCAGTTAATGATATGTGATTAGGCTGCAATAAACACATGCATAATTCAGCGCCAAGAGAAGTGAAAGTTGTCGAACAACAAATCGCTCGCAGTCGATCAAGCGTTATTCGCAACAGTCGAATGTAGGAGGAAGGGCGACGCCTGCTGCTGGCAAACCAAAAACATTTTCGGCCTGGCCACACCCACCCACGCCCGACCGCCCGCCTGCCCGCCGCTGAGCGTGGGCTCAAGTCAAGTGAAAGTGCTAAGCCGCCAGCAACAAGATAAATTACTTGGCGCCTACTTTGTTATCTAAAACCAAAACCGAGTTACAAAAAAAAAATACCAAAGAAAAAACACAAATAAAAGCTAACAATTGTCAGTGTGCGTGTGCGTATTTGTGTGTGTGTGGCAGTGTTGTAAGTGTTGCATACTTTGAGGGGCGGCGCACATGGCGTATGATTTATGCTGCTCTTGTTGTTGCGGCCAGCGAAACAACAACAAATTACATTGAAAGCAAAACAAGCAAATTGAATTTACAGCAATTTGGCTAAAACAAAACAGAATCAAACAAAATACAAACAAAAGTTACGCAAAAAAAACGAATTGTATAAAAAAGTATTTGCCGCGGCTGAGAGAGAGAAAAAGAGATTTTATATATAGATAAATATCTATATGGAGACAATTTAAAAAGATAGCGACTCATTTTGTTATTGGTCCCGGGCGAGCGCTTAACTCAAATTCCCGCTGCTGCTGCTGCTGCTGCTGGCCTGGCCCAAACCGTTGTTGGCCCGGCCCGTGTAATTTGGCCGCAAAACGTTAACAAGCCGAGCAAACTACAAAACTGACAGCGATCATAACAATAAAAAAGATAGTCATAAAAAAAAAAGAACGAAAGGAATCGGGGATAACAAGGCCAAGCACAATGTCGGCCTGGTCCTTAGCCAATTTCGGATTACTCAACTGGCTGTTGTTGTTGCCGCTGCTGCCGCTGCTGCAAGGTGAGTGTGCCACCCCCCTTTTGGTTTTAATTAAATAATCCAATTTATTCTCATTTAATTTCGAATTAAATTTAATTTGTGTGCGCCCCCCCGCGACGCTCTAATTGCTGTCGGGTCGCGCTTTTTTGTTTTAGTCGCTTTGAATTTCTTCGTGGGGTTTTGTTGTTGTTCCGAATTGAAATTCTTTAAATTTTGGAGAACGCGCGGAATTTCAATTTCGTGACAAAAAGTTTCGCCCACGCTCCATTTTGATGACTGTGTCAATCGCAATTCGCGAGCTAATTGCGCTCGAATTGTTTAAGGCCGGGCTTCACAGAAAATTGCTGTTGTACAGCCTTTGCCTGTGACCTGCGCCTGTGACCTGCCCCGTTTTTGCTCATTTCTCGCGCGTGGCAAGGTCGTCCCACTCGAGTGCTTCTGGTCCAGCCAAACGGCAGCTAAACACTTGTAGCCCCAAGCACTTCAGCCTTACCCCCGCTCTCGCTCTAACCATCTGCATATGCTCATGTGTGTGCGTGTGTGTGTGTGTGTGTTGTTTGTTGTCTGGCTCGCCAACTTTTTATGCACACACACACACGCATACGCTGAACTAACTGAAAACTCGTACTTTCCGCAACACTGACACAAAATTTCATTTTCAATTCATGCCCCGCACAGGCTTCTAAAATATATATGTATGTGTATAAAAAAAAAACGCGAGTGTTGGAAAAAAACAACACACTCACACACACACACAGGGAGACGCAAATCCACACACGATGACAAACTAACGAGCTGCAGGGACTCGTAAATGCAGTCGCTGCCTTGAAAGCCGCACTTGTTGTTGCATTTGTTGTTTTATGCCCCTGCCCATGGACCGCAAAAAGGGTATATTTAGGTTTAGTCGAATTGAAGTTGCCAACAGCATACGGAATAGAGAACTAGTCCGATTTAAGGCTGTGTACAGTGTGGGAGGTAAAAGCAAGCTTAAACTCGAAATGACAGAAAACTAAGCGCAGCAATAATTCTATAAATATATAACGAAAGGAAAAATGGCTTCTTTAACTATAGTTAACTTTAATCTTTTTTTAATACATATAAATATAATAGATGAAAATATTATATTATTCCTCAAAACTCTATATTAGCATAGTTATAAATAAAGTTTAATTTTTAAATAAATTTAATTATGATTTTCATTTTAATAATAGTAAAATATGAAAATAAATAATAGAAAAAAAAAATAATATAAAAATAATAAATAAAAAAATCTATAATATAATTTATATATATATATAAAAGAATAAAAAAATAAATAAAAACAATAAATAAATATTAATATATAAACAAAAAAGTGCTAGTATTTAACACATTTAATGTATTACAAACATGCCAAAGTTAAATAAAATTCTAAAACTCACATTTGATAGTTAAATTTTGTCAGGTTTTTCAAAGAGTTAAAAAAGTGTTGGAAAATACCGAATCAGTTAAAATAAGGCTCTAAAAACTAAAAACAAAAAAAACTGCATAAACAAAAGAAAACTTTTTGGTCAAATCGAATCGAATTGCCTTGCCAAAAAAGTCGAGTTCTTGTTGCAGCAGAAAAGTGTAGCATACTTTTGAGCTGGTTACGTTTTTGCCCAGCCTTGCGCTTGCGGCACAGTCAGAACTGACAATGAGCTTATGTTAGGGCATGCAACAAAAATGTGCACATATCTCTGTTTAAACCAAAAAACATATATATATATATATATATGGGTATTTTTTATATGGCAGGGGTTTGTAATTGTTGTTCAGGGTCGCGTTTTTGTTGTTGTGGTTGCAGTTGACACATGAATTTGTTGCAGTTGTCAGTTTCGTGTGCGTGTGTGTGCGTGCGTGTGTGTGTGTGTGGTGCAACCGCAGATGGACTCATTCATTCAGTTGCAGTGCCTAAAGGGCGACCACTTCAGTTACACACACGCACACGCACAGGCTGTCGCCACGGGCCGTCCACGCCTAAACGCATTTCATCATCAGCATCAACGTCATTTTTATTATTTTCATTTTCATTCACATTCACATTTTCATTTGCATTTTCATTTCGATTGCCGGCTTTTGCCGTTTGTCTTCGGCTGCGGCTGGCAATTGTGTTCTGCCCGCTTTGTAATTTCCAAATGAAATGCTTTCCAAATGCAATTTGCCGCTGCAAATTGTTGCAACGTTTGCCTGCCACCTGCCCCACTGTCTCCTCCTCCTCTTCCCCCTTTTCGGTCCATCTATCTATGTGTGTCTGCATTTCATTTTGCTAAAAGCTACTTGTCGTTGCGCCATAAAAGGCAAACAGAAATTACTCTGCAGCTTAAGTCGCTCGTAATTGGAAAATACTCAAAAGCCCAGAAACTGCGAGCATAAGTTAGAGACGAACAAAGAAATAATAAATATAAATAACAAAATACTCTTGTAGTTGTTGCTCGCAAAATATTATTTTAATTCTATATGTTTTCCTTAATTTGTGCACATTTTATTTTAATGAACAGCCTTGAAAACTTGCTTGTTTTTATTTGTTTTAGTTGGCTTATGAAAAAAAAAACAAAAACTTTTCTTTTCTCACGCTTTATTCTGCGAGCAGCAAAGCTTTTTGCTTGGGTGAACTTATCTTGAAAAGTAGCTAAAGATGTTGCTTGAAGTAAATCAATAAAACTTCTTTTTATCATATTTATGACTAAACAAGGGAGTTCCCGACTAGTGGATACCCTCTTCTTCCAACAGGCGATAGGTGAAAAATGAAAGATACTTGATATATATCTATATACTATTCTAGAAGCTACACGTCAAGTTTGGCGACTCTAGCTCAAATTATTTACCGAAATTTCCCAAAAAAACAGTATTTCGATATCGATTTTTATCGATTAGTTGGAAACGGGGCAAGTTATCGAATATCGGAAAGAAACTCGATCTGCGCGGGGACTAGGAGTACCTACAGCTAAAATTTCTCTAGCTCTGATAGGTTCCTTGCGTTCATACATGCGGACGGACGGATGTAAAGACGGACGGACTTGGCTAGATCGACTCGGCTATTGATGTTGATCAAGAATATATATACTTTATGGGGTCGGAGATGCTTCCTTCTGCCTGTTACTAACATTTGCACAGATACATAATACCCTTTTTACCCATTTTCAATGGGTTCAGGGTATAAAAACAAATATTTTTAAAAGGGTTTTCAAGCCAGCTTTGTAAACTTTTTTTTCCATGGGCTTGAACACGAAATTTTACTTCTTTTAACATGAACTTAAAGCTGGTTAAGTTTAACAAAAATCTGTTTCACGAACCGAACTCTAGGGCGAGGCATTGGTTCCAAATGTGAAGCTAATTTGGTTTTAGATATATACTAAGTATATACTATATGCAGTATACTTTAAACTAAATTGTAAACTTAACTTATAGCTTCCAGCTTCCTGCTATAGTTGCTGCTATATCTATCTATCTACCTAAATCTGTATATATATATAGACAAATCTCTTGGTTTTGGCTTAGGCAGCCCTTGCTTTTTCATGTGCTGCGCCAGTTTTTGGATTGACTGACAAAGCAAACAGCACTAGCTTAAATTAATAGAAGCACGCTAAAATAAACAGCAAATACATGCGATATATATATATACATTTATATATATATATATATATATATATATACTTCGAGTTTTAATTTGCAGCAGCTGAAGGTAAACAGGAAATGTTGCTGCTGTCATCAAGGTTCCAGTTGCAGTTGCCATTTTCATTTGGCGTTGACGTGAACGCATGTTGAATAAGTCAAAATGGCGTTGCACAAATGCAGGCCAGTGTGTGTGTGTGTGTGCGAGTGTGTGTGCGAGTGTGTGTGTGTGCGAGTGTGAGTGTGTGTCCAGCGACTTGTTTGAAAATGAGTCGCAATGTGCAATTTCAAAGGCAATGCCACATGGTCACGCCGTGCAGCTGCCTGCCACAGTGTACAAATAGAACTAGTGGGGCACACACACACACACACACAGACACACACACACACACAGAAATTTGGTAGCTGTGGCAAACACGAAATAGCAAAAGTCTGGCCCTGAAAAGTGCGCAAACATTTGCAGCGCTGCGAAAGCCGTGCAACGGCAAAGTTGACATTTAACATTTGCAACAACTTTGCAACAAACAGAAAATACACTGCGCAAAAAGTGCGACAACATTTATGCCATAGCATTTTGTATATCAATATAAATGTAATTCAATAATGAATTCATAAAGTGTGCGCAATGCTTTTATTGTTTAAGTTTCTATGAAAGTGTAGGTGTGTGCGTGTGCGTGTGTGTAGGTGTGTGTGCGTTTGTGTGTAGGTGTGTGTGTGTGTTTGCACTTGCGGTTATTCCTTTGCATTTTTATGTGTTTATTTAGTGCGCAAAATATGCGACGGATGCGGTAAATGTAAATTGCAGTTATTTGCGCAGCTGTTCGCCATTTAACGCAAACAAATTGTTTACTCTCACATAATTGTTGTTGTTGTTGCTTTTGTTGTAGTCACTATTGTTATACCCTGTAACCAGTGCAAAGGGGTGGAAAGTGTATGCCTATGCTTGTAACATTCAAAAGCAAGCAGTTTCAAAGCCTTGAAGCATAAATACTCTGGATTAGTTCAAGGAGCTGAGTCTATTGGGGCAAATTCCTCTTTCTGTCCAAGCGTCTGTTTGTCTGTATATAGAAGTTGTTCGCGAACAATAGGAAAAAGCCGAAGACTTGCTTACTGCGAAGACTTGGTAGTCGTGTATACCCAACTTCTCATATATCAAACGCAGCACGAGCTACTTATCCTTTCTTTCCATGTCTCCTAAATAGTAATAATATCGATAAATATCGATTTTGAGACATATTTCTAATAGCTCCAAGATTATAAGAGCTTACTTTGCATTATAATATAATATATTGTTATTATTATTAGGATTAACTATAAAACATTCATATTATAAATAATTCTATAATTAATTACAACAATATATATATACATATATATATAATATAACA